CATGCATTATCACAAACTGTAAATAAGCTATCATTTGTTTGGGGTAAATAAGGTTATTTAAAATGTTTTTTTTTATTTTTTATTAAAATGTAAGTCTTTCATTCTCACCAAGGCTGCAGTTATTTGATCAAAATACAACAGAAATAGTAAATTATTACAGAATATAATAACTGTGTTCTATTTTAATATTTTTAAGCCATTTTCTAGTCACTTTTGTTTTTTATTTTTCAGTAGGTCAATTTTGTCTTGTTTGTAGACATGGCAAAACTCTTTTAGTTATCCTTTAGAGTTTAAGCTATAAGTAGGAATGTGAATTCATGAGAAAAGCCCCCCCAAAAAATCACATGCATGTAGCCTCTGAACAGTTCGGTGAACTTTACGCACATTCTAATGCAAGATGCAGAACTTCAGCACTGAGGGCTGGTGAGGGGCATTGAGGACGAGCAAATGCACAGCTACTATGTAAATACAGAATATCGTGCAGAAAATCAGGGCTATTGTACAACATATATGTAAGGGGATTACTGTACTTTTAACCCATTTTTTGTTAGCTCCCTCTCTCCCTGTCCCTTCATCCTCCTGTTTCCCCACATGAATAAAAGCATGAGGATTGAGGGTAATGGACTATGTAATATTATAAAGATTACAATGAGGCACTTCTCTCCAATCCCTCGGTTTAAGCTTCACTATAAAATCCCAATGCTCTTATTGTGCTGGTCATAGAAGCAGTGCAGTCACTATTAGCTGATGTTATACATTGATTGATTGAAAATACTGCTCAGTGTCAGTGGAGAAAAGTAACAATTAGACATACAGTTCAGCAGATATTCTCTACCTTTGCGGTCTAATACATTTTAAATATATATTTGTCACCTTCTTTGTTCCAATTGGTATGTCTCATTTCCTACTAGGTGGCTATTTTTATGATGATTTTTATAATTAGCTATATCTAATTTCGTGCCGTGCATTTTAATGCCATGTTTTCATGACATGTATTTTTGTTTCTTTTGTCTTGAGCTTTATTTGTTTTTTCTGAATGCAGTTTAATGCAACAAAATGAACAGCAAAACAATTTTAGATTTTAACGTGTTTACTCGGATGTGGAATTGAGTTTACAGGGGTTTTTTCGAGTATTTTTACACTAGATTTTTAAGTCTGACAACATTGTTATGAAACCAGTTTTGTGAACTCAGGTCCACACCAGCAGTCTGTATACTTTAATGGGGAAAAAATTTAATGTTTATCCATTTATTTGCAGTCATACACATTTGTCAAGATCTGAAAGAGGTTGTCCTCAGCGCTCTGATAACCCACTTCTCTCACCTGCTACTCCCAGGAAAATGGCCTTAAAGGGATAGTTCACCCAAAAATGAAAATGTGATGTTTATCTGCTTACCCCCAGGGCATCCAAGATGTAGGTGATTTTGTTTCTTCAGTAGAACACAAATTATGATTTTTAAATCCAACCGTTGCAGTCTATCAGTCGTATAATACATGGCAATGGTAACAAAATCTATGAGAGTAAAAAAAACATGCACAGACAAATCCAAATTAAACCCGGCGGCTCGTGACGACACATTGATGTCCTAAGACACGAAACGATCGGTTTGTGCGAGAAACCGAACAGTATTTATATCATTTTTTACCTCTAATACAACACTATGTCCAACTTCCTTGAGCGCGCGCAGGCATCCGGTGCGTGAGGTGTGTACGCGCTCTGGCGTAGTTTACGTTAATGGGTGTGTTGATATCCAGCCGAAGAGCAATCAACCATAACTTCAGGCGAGCAGGCTCAGAAGTTGGGAATACGTGGAAAGTCAGCACTCCCGAATGAGTTCGCGCGAGAGAACGTAATCTTTTAGTTTTAAGTCGGTTTGAACAATCCGAATAAGTGCAAGTAAGTACCATTTTGATTAGCCGTCGTACCTACAATGACTGTGCATTGTGTAAACAATGAGTGACGTATACGCGCGAGAGATCACTTCCGGCGCTTGCGTAAACTACGCCAGAGCGCGTACACACCTCACGCATCGGATGCCGTGCGCGCGCCCAAAGATAGTTGGACATAGTGGTGTATTAGAGGTAAAATATGATATAAATACTGTTCGGTTTCTCGCACAAACCGATCGTTTCTTGTCTTAGGACATCAATGTGTCGTCACGAGCCGTAGGGTTTAATTTGGATTTGTCTGTGCATGTTTTTTTTTACTCTCATAGATTTTGTTACCATTGCCATGAATTATACGACTGGCAGACTGCAACGGTTGAAGTTAAAAATCATAATTTGTGTTCTACTGAAGAAACAAAGTCACCTACATCTTGGATGCCCTGGGGGTAAGCAGATAAACATCACATTTTCATTTTTGGGTGAACTATTCCTTTAAGTGGCGTGCAAACCCCAGTTGCAGGATCAAACGGAGGAGAGGAAATCCCTGCAGATTCTCACTGAGAAATTGTTATCTGGCTGCCAGATCGTTTGAGCAGGCACACCAGTAATTAATTGCAGTTAGGCAAAGAGCCAGTAAGCAGGCACATGCTAAGAGATCAGACATCCCTCTAATTAAAATGGCTGGCATGAAAACGACAGGGTAATGCAGGCTTTGTGTGTATTAAACAGGCTATAGCCAAAGAGAAGGCATCCAGTCAAGAGATATGATGTAAGTGCAGTGCATGAGTGTAGACTGGGATATGGGCGGAAGGATATGTTCCTAACAGACTAGTTAATAGTCCTTTCCAGTACATTTCTGTGACATATTTTGCAGGTTATTTTCTGTGCGCTTTTCTGAAACGGAAGTCCACAGTGTGGGGAAATTAACAGCTGAAAACTTTACATTTGCCCTGTTGATCTTGACTACAGTGTGTCTGACTCCAAATAACTAATCAATCTTTCCTCAATAAGTAAAATATGGTCTGACGTGTCGAAATGTGACAGGAAAGCAGAGTTTAAATACACACAAGGCGATATTAAGTAGATCACTTGGGCATTCATGGCAAATGTAAGTGGTAGTCAGAGTTTGACACATGCTGGTATATGGCAAGATGCCTGCGGGCCGGTAGATTCTAATGTAAACATCATTACAGTGTCTGTGGAATTCTGCCTTTAATCCTGAAGCAAAAGCCATAACCGCTGAACAGAGTGTAGAAACAAAGAAAACATAAGGAGGCAGAGCGAGAGCAAGGCTGAGAGAAGGGCCCTTGTGGTTCTGGGGTCACGACACTTTAATGGGGAAATGCTGATGCTGTCATTTTTAACACACTACATGAGGTCCCGTCTGAACTCTTGGCAGGGATTGAGGAATGTCTGCTTTTTACTCAGCTAAAGTCAATTTCATGTGCTGTGAATAATTTTAACCTCTACTACAACAAAAACCTAAAAACTAAATTACCATTTTTGTCAGGAAGAAGTAGGGCTGGGCGATATGGCCAAAAGAATTATCACGATAAATTTCAAATCTTTATTTCTTTCAAGTTTAAAGGCAGATTTTTGATCCTGAGTAAAGGTTGTAGAAACCAGATCATTAATTTTGGTTTTAAACTACTCCTTATGGTCAGAACATGACAAAAACTTAATAAATATCTTAATAGAAAAATTCATTTCGTAGTTTCTGCATGTTCTAACGAGTGATATTCTTTCAAATCATGAAACAGGTTTGTGTTGCTTGATTTTGATGAAACATATCTTCAGCACAGTTTGCAGTGCAGGCTGCAATATTAATATTACAAAAATGATAAATGTAACAGTATTTTTTGTCTCTTAGAAATGCACATTTGACAGTAGCTTGAGATAGGATGCAGATGTAAATTGAAGTTCGTTATCAAAAACGGTAACATCTGTAAAAATGATACAACCTAATTTTTATATGGTGAAATGTAATTATTCTGACTGTTTGATAACCACAGTTAAAAATGCACACATAACACCTCTATACCACTGTAAAAATGTAACTATATGGTTTCTAGGTATTTGTATGAAAAACAGTAGTCTAATTACACTTCTTTCGTTATATTCCATTACTCCTTTAATACATTTAATACATGTCTACATTAATAATATAATAAAATTCTATATGAATATTCTGCATTTTTGCCACAATACCACGGTGCAGTTAGTGTTACTACAGTAAATCTATGGTAAATGACGGCGATTTGTAGATTGAAAAGCATTCTGACTGTATCATTGTTTCTCCTGTTTGTCAGCGCTGTTTCATCTGCCTTTAAACTAGTTTAGATCAGCGAGTCATGTGTGTGCTTCGCTGAATTCAAGCAGTGGTAACTTTAAGACACAATGCATGGATCCAACATAATACACATCTGATTTCTTTCTCAACTCTTTACGTTCACTTAAGACTTAAGTAGACGCAAAAGAGAACTCCATTTGGGGCTCGCACGCGTCTGAGACACGGCATTGTACTGACTTTTGTCTTCATGCACTTGAGTGTTTTGAAATAGGCAAGGCTTAAAAACACATGCAAATGCTAAACTTGTCACAAAGCAGCGGTGGCCTGATCGGGCCAGTGACAAATCCATCAACTGTCCCAAGTGTCTTTCAATCTGGCCTCAGGCCATCAGGCAGTTCTTGTTGTCGAGAGCACATGCGTCCATTCATGTCAATGTAATAGCCTATTAAACTTAATATTAAAATAGCTAATTAAAGGAAAATAAAATGCAAACCAAAATAAGTGTCCATTTATTAGCTCCGCCCCTTTACTGTAACTAGTACAGACCCACATCTCTTGGCATCTTGTTGAAAACCATCGGAATGCTTTGCAGAATCATAATTGTGGCCAAACCAAAATCACATATGGAGAAAATCACTTACATCATTTATGATGAGAAACATTTGCTTTCCTGAAACAGACACATTGTTGTTGCTTTATTATCAAAATTTTGTTTCACTCGAGAAAATGTTTCTTTAATTTACTGTGAATGTTTGTCTTTGTGATTTTGGGGTGATTGATGCACAAAATAGACTATAGTTTTTTTGTTGTTGTTTTTTTTCAGATATATTTCAACAGTTCAGCATGTGAAAACAAACCTCAACACAAGTTCTTATCGTGTGAACCGTATGGGTGGAGAGTGACCTCAGAGCCTCTATTATTTCTGTTGCTCAATCAGCCAGATGGGAAAACAAGGGAATTCTGACGCTACACTTGTTGCCAGTGCTTGAATCCAAAAAGTGAAGGAATTTAAACTTACAGGTCTGAAATTGTTCCTTTATGTTTAAAATCAGTGTTTTATCAGAGTAACTAAAAATAATGATGACACTAACTTTTTTCAGTAGTTCAGCGGTTTTCAAAACCATAGTTTTTTCCTGCTTCAAGCTGCTAGTTCTGTCATTGCTGTCTTACATCACATTGTTTGCATTTATTTATTTTTTTGCATGAAATGAATCGATAATCCAGCAATATACTCCACTTTGAAAATCTCCACTTTGTCTCTTATACCTTGGAAATTCCGATTAATTATCATTAATTAGTTCATTCAGAACTTCCAAACTTACTTCGGATTCTTCACTAAAGAACTCGTCCACAAGTTTAAGGTCATAATTTTTTTGTTTTGTTTTTTAAGGCATACTGTTACCAAGGCTGCATTTATTTGAATTTGAAATATTATTAAAATGTACGATAACAATTTTTAACTATTTGAATACATTTTAAAATGGAATTTATTTCTGTGATGCCAACTCTGAATTTTCAGTGGCAATTACTCCAGTCTTCAGTGTCACATGATCCCTAGAAATCATTCTAAAATGCTGATTTGCTACTCAAGAAACATTTTTCTGTAAAAAAAAAAAAAAAAGTTTTGCTGCTTAATTTTTTATGGAAGCTGTGATGCATTTTTAAGGATTCTTTCATGAATTAAAATTTCAGAACAATATTTATTTCAAGTAGATATAAAGGATGGAGATTTCCCTAACACCATCCACCATCGCTGGCTTGGTGACATATAGAGTGCATTATATATATAAGTAGACTTAAAGTTGAAGGTGTACAGACTGTATGCGACAGTGACAGCATGGGTGGTCCCACAGGAGTGATGGTATTTTGTATTTACAATGGGGCATGTGCAGGAAGGGTCTGTAATGCACTGTAGCTCTGTGAGTGCTGATGCGCAGTGGCTTGGCTTGCCTCCTCTAGCAGTAATGAAGTGTGTATTTATGGAAAAGCCTGTGGACTGCAACCTGAGGTCATGGCCCTTAACTCAATCAACCAAGATTAATTCTGAAGCAGCCATGTCAGGGAGACGCTGTGTGTTTCTAGGTGAAAGCAAAAGCACTTTATTTGGTTTATCATTTGCCACTGATGATTCAAACGCGAGTTTTGGTGCAGTGTGGATTAACGTTAGCACTTGTTGTTTGTCATTTCTCTGATCACAAATGCAGACAGGGATTTATGTTTACGCGGCACGATGCAACGCAACGCAACGCGTAAAAAGACAGTATAAGTCATTATAAAATAATGATCTTTAAAAAAGCATAATATGACCCCTTTAATATAAAAGATTAAATATGAACATGTTTAATTAATGTTTGACAGAAAATCAAGTATTTTTACAATATTTTTTGCATTATAATGTACCGTAAAACCAAACTTTTTGTGAAGCGTGAAAGGTGTGCTTGACTTTCTTTTCAAATAAAATAAATGGAACTTGTTTTGATATTTTCCTACCTAATGCATTACATTTAACTGTGACTTTTTGGAGCCACAGTACTTTATATCACAGTAATGCTTTTGATTTTTGGTCTAGTAGTTTTTTTATTGGTGTCTTTATTTTAAATGATCTGCAGTCTTGAATGCTTCTTTACTATGTCACACCAACAGACGCCCATATGTCTCTAAGCAGTTTGTGCGTTTTACCACAAAAAACACATTTGCACACACATACACATTTACAAGGCCTGGGTCTACAGAGTAAAAAAACATGCTCCTAAGGCAAATAAAAAATGAAGTATAAAGAGCCTACACTAAGTGAAATCCTTGACAAGTTGGTGTGCAACATGAATTTAAATTAATTTTCCCTCTCTTTCCCTCCTCTTCTCCCCTCTGTATAGGAACTGAGCTATATCGGCTCTGAATGAAGTCTGTGTGCTGCTGGTTTAGAATGTTGTCACGATAACATCAGCCTGACTCCGCTCTGACTTCGGCAGGTGGGAGCCCAGGGGTCAGGTAACGGTGTCACTGGGTCGTTTTAAGCCCAAACACACACACACACATACTCTCACATGCACGCTCACGCTAAGCCTGTAGCGGGATGTTTGCTACGGAAAATTCCGTTACCCTCGGAAGGAGGCTGATTATGACTGCTTGTTTAAACACCATGCCTGAATGTTTTTGCTCACTTTGGACAGTGGGGTCTTTAGACTCCTTCCATCCTGCCATCCTTCACTGCAAAAATCAGTTGTAATGAGGATTTTTGTTGAGTAAAAATATCTTAGCATATCTAAAACTAAATAATTTACTCAAGACTTGTTTTCTGACAACATGTGTGACCCTGGACCACAAAACCAGTCATAAGTGTCAATTTGTAATAAGCTTTCCATTGGTGTATGGTTTGTTAGGATAGGACAATATTTGGCTGAGATACAACTATTTGAAAATCTAGAATCTGAGGGTGCAAAAAAATCTAAATATTGAGAAAATCGCTTTTAAAGCTGTCCAAATGAAGTTCTTAGCAATGCATATTACTAATCAAAAATTAAGATTTCATTTATTTACGGTAGGAAATTTACAAAATATCTTCATGGAACATGATCTTTACTTAATATCCTAATGATTTTTGGCATAAAAGAAAAATCATTTTGACCCATACAATGTATTTTGGGCTATTGCTACAAATATACCCCAGCGACTTAAGATTGCTTTTGTGCTCCAGGGTCACATATGCTAAATGAAGTTGAATACTTTTATTATTATTATTTATATTTTTAAGAACAAACCTGATTATGTTTTGATTTAAAATAAATGTATGCAAAAAGGTTTTCAACTGGATTTAGAAAATAATCATATTCAAGATATATTCTCTGAATACATGTCTTAATATCAGTTTGTTCCTGAAGTAAATTTTCAAGTTTTCAATTTTTAATACAAGATTCTTTTGCTCAAAGATATTTACAAAAATCACGAATGTGCACATTAGGTCTTGTTTTTAAATCTTAATTTCTTGTTTTTAGGATGAACCTTAATACATTTTGTACATTTCTCTAAAACGTTGTCATTTTCCTTCTCAGATAAATGCATATTGTTTTAAGGATGTTGGGATGTTTTTAATAGGGTTTGAAAAATAGACTTCAAGGTTTATTCTTTGAAAATTAGTCTTAATGTCTTTGAAGAATGCTTAGATATTTTTACTGGAAAGTTAGATAAAAATACTAATTAAGAAAATTATTTTTGCAGTGATCTGGAAGCCAGTCTTGTCTGATTGTCGAAATACAGTACTGTTTTTTTGCTATGCTAAGAAGTAAGATTGGTCATTTTTTGGTCATTTTATTCTTTGAGGCAAATTAATGAGTTTTTGGCACTGTGTATCTCTAAGTGATGTAATATTTGTTACGAGAAAATAAGAGATCAACAAAAGAACAAATCCATTTTAAATGACACTTTTAACATCTTAAAGATATTCATTAAGGACATTTTAATTATAAATAGGAGTCTTGTCTTTTGGAGATATCTGTGAAATGCCAAAAGTCCTCAAGCGAAATGACTTGTCATGTGACATGTGACCAGCCTCTGTCTTCTTCAGTGTAGCTGTTGCGTAATTTCTACAGGCCTATATTGGCATATTTCTGCTTTCTGCAGTACCAGTTACTCAAAAGTATCTTGCTTCTGTGTTTGATGGTTTAGGTGTTCATGAATAATGCTTCTGCAGTCTGTTATTGAATTTTAACTCTATACCCTTAATCGCTTTCAGATAAAGTGTTTTTCTTTGCACAGAGACCTCATCAGTATTTACCTCTTGTTTCAGTATCTGTCGTTTTGTGTTTTTCAGTCTGTGAGTGAGGGCTGAGTCAGGAGTGAATCAGCGCTGCTTTTGATTGACGGACAGCTCGGTGGGAAACAAGGCCTCGGGAGAGCGAGAGTCCGATAACAGGAGTGAAAGCGTCGCAACGGCAGTATCATCTTTCAGTCTTTACTGCCACTCGTCTTTCACAACATGGCCTCTACGGTAGCACCGCTCTCCTCTGTCGCTGCCTCTTTGGGGACGTAGAAAGACACGGGACACACGGACATATTCTTACATACTGCTGCAGAGGAAAGCTGGGGAAGTGTCTTCAGACTTTAAGGTCCTTAATAGATAAACAAACTGTGTTAAACGTCAGTACCATCACAACTACTGTTTCCTGGTTTGGGAATCGTCTTAGTGTTTCAAAGGGACTCATAGTACCATGAGCGTTTTAGGAAGGTGCGTTCTCTGATTTTATATGTTCCTGTGTGACATCGAAGGCCAATGCGTGTGGCTCGAGAGCCCATCATGGCCAGGCCGCTGCTGAAGATCCACCGCTATTTCCGGCGTAAACCGATACGCTTTTTCTCTTTCATCCTCCTCTACCTCACCGCTGGCAGTCTTGTTTTCCTCCACTCCGGCTTCTCCAGCGATACTTCCACTACTGGAGCTTCTGGAAGCGGCCGTGACCCACTTATATCTGAAGGTGGGGGCGGCACAGGTGCTGGGAGCTCTACCTCTGATGCTCTCGGGCTCCTAGGAAGAGTGTTTAAGGAAACACGGAGAGCCCCCCGGAGATTTAGACCACCGTGGATGAAGGAAAATGGGGCACAGGATGCACCGGAGTGGGCCAGAAGAGGAGTCGATCGTACCAGCAGCTGGAGCCATGGAGCCAAAGGAAGAACCACCAAAGAGATGGACGATGGGAGAGGTAGGAACAGTTCCATTAATCATGTCACCATGAATTAACATCTGTTTTAACTTCTGTCATAAACATCTTCTTGGCTAGTTATAGTCATAGAAGATGTTCTGATATTAACCAAAATTGAAGAATGTATGGCAAGACTATTGGCCAAACCATTCGCCTAAAATGGAATGAATTTTCATTCTAGGCCAACCTGATTAATACTACACTGCAAAAAAAATCTTTTTCTTGATCATTATTTTTGTCTTGTTTTCAGTAAAATTATCACAATATCTTAACCAAGATACATTAATTTGAGGAGGAAAAAAAATACATTTCAAGAAATCTACCAAATTTATTAAGGTTTGTGCTGAAAGCAGTAAAACAAATTGACATGTTATTGTTCTAAACATTAACCTCACAAAAATTTTTAGATTTCTATAAAACAAGACTTCAAATCTTATGTCAATTTGTAAAAAAACTAACAAAAAAAAAAAACAGGAAAATATTTTTAATGTATATTGTGTAAAGGGTGTTTTGATGTTCATACTTGACATGACAAAATACTGATTTTTTTTAAAATTTATTTTTATTTTTTTAACCAGCATAGACAAACCATTTTGCTAATTTTGCTGATGAAGCTAGTTGACTAGAACAGTCTCTCTAATTAAGCTGATTGACCAAGGAGGTCTTTCTGGCTAAGCATTTAAAACACTGCTGTCAGTCTTTAACTTTTCATCTTGATATACACAGAGGATTTTCCTTATTTAATAGAATACCTTACATGTTCTCACACAGACATGGCACATGCGATTATGTGTGTTAAAAAAATAAATTATTAAAGGGTTAGTTCACCCAAAAATGAAAATTAGCCCGTAAATTACTCACCCTCAAGTCATCCTAGGTGTATATGACTTTCTTCTTTCAGACGAATCCAGTCGGAGTTATATAAAAAATGGTCTTTGATCTTTCTTTCTGTTTCATAGCACTCAGCGGGGATTTCGATATAATCCAAGAGGAGACTGGTTTTTCTTTGCTAAAGTAAGGAAACTTTGCTTCCTTTGCTCCTGTAAACAAACGTTGGTTTTTTCACGAGACTCACCGGCGCATGCGCAGCACTGACCTCATACGTCATCCGCCCAGAACTGCTTCCAGTGTACAACACTGAGCGCAAGCTACATTAAAGTGATTATTATGTTTTGAATATGGATATTTTTCTTACAAAAACGCATCGATGGAGCCATGTGTGCATCCCCCCGGAGCCGTGTGAGACACTTTTTTTTATGGATGGGCGCATTTTATTTAACTGCTTTTAGACTGATGCATGTAACACCCGCTGAGTGGCATTAAACAGCTTGAAAGATCAAAGACAATTTTTAATATAACTCCGACTGGATTCGTCTGAAAGAAGAAAGTCATATACACCTAGGATGACTTGAGGGTGAGTAATTTATGGACTAATTTTCATTTTTGGGTGAACTAACCCTTTAATATTGCACTTCTGTCATAAAACCATAAAGCACAGTTCTCCTCTTTGCATGATTGCAACCTCAGACACAGTGGAGAAAGAGTCATAATTTAGTGTATTAAAGCAGGAACACTATGAGTGCGTTCCAATCGCCAAATAGTATCCTGACTTTACAGGGAAAACCAGGCATCCTAGGTGAGACTCCATATATGCCATATACAGTGGGTACGGAAAGTATTCAGACCCCCTTAAATTTTTCACTCTTTGTTATCCGTACCCACTGTATGTTTAATTTGACTGGGTTTAATTTGGATTTAATTTGAAGTAGAGAGTAACAATTACCCAATAGTCATTGCATATATATATTTATATATAAAGCGTAAATTTATAACATCCTATATTGTATTTTTAGAATTCTGTACATTTACATGATATCATCATATTCAAAGGTAATCTGTGTGACTCAAGTGCTGCAGGGCATCGCAAATGAGCTCATTTTTGTCAGATGAAGTGCTCAGGGTGTTGTGAGTAGTGAACACTGTGTGTGCAATGTGAAGCACAATGCGGATCAATGTTGATTGAGCCTTTAAGATCAGAAGAGAGTGAATCAGCAGGTCAGTGGTCAGTTGTCGCACACAGTCATCATGTTATGAAGGTTGTGGTTGAAGCTCAGTGGAGTATGGCGAAGCGCCTGTGTCTTTAAAGCTTTAAACTGGAGGAATGAAATGCCCTTTTGGTGATTGTTGAAGTAAATAATGTGTGTGTGTGTTTCTAATGGTTGTAGAGTAGCACATTTGTTGTTGTTAGTTCATAGCCTTCGGTTGATGTTTCATAACTCCTAAATAGGCCTATCTTGTTGCTGAGCAGCAGGCACAAATATTAAAATCTTAAAATCAGGTAATGTATGATATTTTATAATGTATATTTTTTTAATTATCAGAATAAGTAGTATAGAAAAAAAATACCTTTGATGCTTTAAATGAAACCTCGTTTGAATGATCACAGTGAGAGCATTTATGGGTTAGTTATGGGTAAGTCTTGTGGAGTTGGAAAAATCGGACTTTCTCAAATCCCCAATATTCCTGTACATAAACGTAAAGTCAGTTTATTAATCTTTGAAATAAAAGCTTCTGTGAGGTGATGCCATTAAATATACATGATGTGACCTGCATCATATTTGGTCCTCTATGAAAGCGTGTTTGAGGGTGTTTGCTGAAGGGCTTGGATGTTAAAAGGCTGAAAAATGCCAATTTTCATCATCGCTATATATTTTTGTGACTGCTTGTCAAACAGCTGAGACGTCATGTATCACATTTGAATGAAAAATCAATATTGTCATTCCTAAAGGTCCGTTCACACCAATTAATTAACAAAAACCATAACGATAACTAATGTTTTTGAAAGAAGTCTCACTGAGGCTGCATTTATTTGATAAAAAATACAGTAAAAATTGTAATATTGTGGTTTTTTATTTAAACAGTTGTGCTGCTTAATATTTTGGGGAAACCGTGATGCATTTTATTTCAGGATTCTTTGAGAATAGAAATTTCAAAAGAACAGCTTTTATTTGAATTTTTTTTAAATTTTAGAATATTATTAATGTCTTTAGTCACTTTACAGTCAATTTATTGTCCTTACTGAATATAAATATTAATTTGAAAGTATTTCAAATTTAAACAGTAGTGTATATTAGTGTCCACACCAATGTTTATTTTTTTAATGTGAGCTTCAGTCATGTTCTGTGAACAATTGCTCTGTGTGCTTTAAAGTATGAAGGAGTTTGATTGACTGTCAATGTTTTTATCATTCATCAACTGGAAGAATCACTCTGAAAGTGATTGCAACAATATTGTTCCTCTGTTGTGGTGTGGATGCAGCAGTTCTCTTAAAATTAGAGATTTTTAAAAATTAAGCATTAGCGTTAGTTCTGGCAGGTCACGTGAGTCAAGCTTGCATCAGCTGATACTCAGCTGATCACATCTACCTATCCTATTCCCTATACGACACCTATCCTATTCCTATATAAGCTCTATTCAGTATTATTCAGCAGCTTTTCAGATTCAGCAGCTTTTCAGCTTGCTCAGGAGCAAATTACCCTCCTCCATCCCCAGCTCCTCCTTTCGCCACAGTCAGGACTTGGCTTTCTGATATTCCTTGCTAATCAGACTCCTTTATCTTGAATAATGTGTTACACTTAAATATCATTAAGTACAATGATATCTGATAATGATATCTGCCTTGTTCTGTTCTGTTAACCCTAGGGGGGTTATTATTGTTGCTCTCCCTGCTCATTCATGACAGGCTGCATGGATGGGCAGGGAGTTTTTTGCCCAGAACAGAACCATACCGCCAAACCAAACTTTATGCTAAGTATCTATCATTTTGACGATAGTGGTCCTGACAGAACTTTAGTTATTGTTTTTGGTGTGGCCTTTATTCATAGACTTTGCATTTCTTCCTTGAGTAAAGAACCTGAAACTTTAGTCACTTGGTTTACAGGATGCATTCTGCAGCAGCGCAAGTTACTTCTATTACAGTGAACTTTAAACAACAAGAAACAGCTTGATAGAATTGCCCATGTGGGCCCCTGCAAAATTAAAGCATTTTTCTCTGTGAAAGATGGACTGCATCTGGAAAAGTCTCTAGTGCCCTATGCTAACTCACTATAGTTCACACAGTAACCCACAAACAGGCAAAAGAAAGCCAATTAATGGATTGTTCAAGTCTTGGGTCATTACCTTTATCCATAGTGAGGTTTCAACAGATGGTTCTCAAGAGTAACCCTCAGGGCATTTTAAAAGTAGTTTTAATGCATTAGTTATGCCTTGTAATGCACTGTACAATCTCATGAATAATTGTAGTACATTATAACACTTATCAATCCATTGTTACACTATGCATTTTTAATTCAGTTACAATTATTTACGACAAGATATAATGTATTGCAATGCACATTATGAATAATTCTAATGCCATTATACCCTTTAATAACCCTTTATGGTGCATTATACATAAAGGCTTTAAGTAAAGTGTTACCAAACACTTTAATAATAGACACTCTAATAAAATGAATAAATATTATTATGATAATGGACAAATATCAGACACATAAGCAAAGAAAAAGACCTATCCTTTTTACATTACAGGAAATATTAAAGGTTAATATGCAAAGTTGTAGCCTGCTGGTTAACTAAATCAAATATAAGCCTGATTCGGACGGTAATTGTTTCTCATGGGGATGTAAGCGATTTTGAACATTTACAGGGGTTAGTCGTGATTTTATTGCCGTCTGAGTCCAGAATCCTGGTGTTTTTCTCCCTGGCCCAACTTTTCTCATTTTGGCAAACACCAAGGTCGTGTGGTAATTCAATTTTTTTTAATAAGAAAAAATCAATGCGAAATTCAATATATAAATCCTTTCAACCACTGTATTATATGTGACCCTGGAACACAAAACCGAAGTCGCTGGGGTATATTTGTAGCAATAGCCAAAAAATACATTGTATGGGTCAAAATTAACGATTTTTCTTTTATGCCAATAATCATTAGGATATCAAGTAAAGGTCATGTTCCATGAAGATATTTTGTCAATTTCCTACCGTAAATATATCAAAACTTCATTTTTGATTAGTAATATGCATTTCTAAGAATTTCATTTGGACAACTTTAAAGGCGATTTTCTCAAATTTAGATTTTTTTGCACCCTCAGATTCCAGATTTTCAAATAGTTGTATCTCAGTCAAATATTGTCCCATCCTAACAAACCATACATCAATGGAAAGCTTATTTATTCAGCGTTCAGATGATGCATAAATCTGAATTTTGAAAAATTTACACTTAAGTCTGGTTTTGTGGTCCAGGGTCACATATAGGCCTATAATTACATGCATAAAAATATAAACCAAGCAGCTTTATGTTTACCTTATATTAAATAAGAGGTTGCATTAATTTATTTATTAACATGAATGTATTCTTAATTATTATTCCAAGAATGTGACATTTTATTTACAGCAGACAATCAGAAATCACATTTACAGCAGAAAAATGTGACTGGCCATATAAGCAGCGTGTTCCCGGTTCGTAGGATCACAGAATTCGTTTCTCCGCTGTGAATAAATCATCCATGAGTTTTATCACTGAGGTGCCATATAACTTTATTTTTACAGAAATCCAGAACAAGAAACAATTACCATCTGAAGAGGGCTATAGAAGCCAATTTTATAATGATTTTTTCTTAAAATTAATTTCATAATTGTATGCAATTTTGTGATATTGAGATTCATTTACATGTTATGTGAAGCTATTATAATTCATCCCTGCTCCCCTCTTGATTATATTTCATATGTCCAGAGCAAAGAGTGAGTACAGCGGAGCATCATTATCTCTGTAGTCGTGCTGCTAGTGAGAGTTTCATCTGTGCACTTAGCTGCTTCACAGAATGGCAATCCAGTGAGTGAATGAGTGAATGAATAGAGCTTGACTTGTAGATAAAGCAGATTACCGAGCTTGCCCTCTGTGCCTGGAATACGATTAGCTCGCAGCTCGTGATCCTGCTCGCTGCTTTTTAGACAATTGCAATTACTGTAATGTTGAACTGGTTAGTGTGTGTATGTGACAGAACCATCCCATCTCAGCTATTAGAAAATACATGAAATCCTAATGGGGTACGATGAGATTACAGAGGAAGAACGGATGTCAAGCAACAGGGCATTTTGGGTCATTTTTGTGTATGTATGTCACAAACGTTGAGATTGATGAAGCAAAAGGTGCAACAGACTGTGAATGTTTGTCCCAGAACAATGTGACTGTATCCAAACTGTAGATGTTTTATAATGAATTATGTCACAGGCTGTTTACATATGAAATGGCGTTCTCTGTATGGTAGCTACCAATCACAATATGTGTTGCCAGACTGTTAGCACTTGTTATAATTCAACGGAATATTCCGGGTTCTATACAAATTAAGCTCTTTACAAAAGAATGTTGATTATCACATTTTATTGCCTATACATATTGTTTGCATAATGCAGTTACAATGGAAATCGATGGGGAAAAAGCATTGCACCTGAATAAATATTAAAATACACACAAATTATAGTTAATTTATTATATCATTTATTTATTTATTAAATAAAATTTTTATTTATTAATTTATTATATTTG